CACTGGGTGTCTTCCTTCCATTTTCTTCCAGTTCTTAAGCTGCTGGAGCAGACCAGAGCTGCCAGCCAGAGCCAGACATCTGGGGAACAAGCAGTCAAACCCACGTGGGCAAGCCTGGACTGAGCTGCTGGGCACAGCTGCTTCCAGCCCAGGAAAGGGTGATGCCACCTTCCCCTCACTTGGAGGACAAAGCCACCAGCTGGAAGCAGCTGCTTGTGCCACCCAGTCCCAGCACAGCCTGTTTTGTCTGATGCAGGCAGGGCTGTGATGGTCACATCATGTCACAGGGTTTGGCTGCGTGCAGCTGTGCTGGGAACAGCTGTAAGGCCGGGCTCCTCCTCACACAGCCCTTTGAATTGACCCCATATGTGCCTTATATTCCAATTTGCTTTGTCAGCATCGAAATTAGTGACTCTGTTCTGCTCCAAAACAGGAAGCAGCATAAAATGGTATAAAAATTAGGATTTGCCACATGTCGTGCTAGGAAACGCAGAAATAGCTCTGATCTCTGTCCCAAGCTTCCAGCCTGGCCAAGATCCTGGAGAACTAGAACTGCACTTGTATTATTCCTTCTTCCTCCCCTCCTTTCCCCATCCAAGTGCTTTTCTCAGCCCTCCTGCCTCCACACTCACCGGGTGGCCAAAGGAGACCATGCAGGTGCTGTGATCCAGAGGCATCAGCAGCCCTGGAGGCAGGGTGGTGCTGCCTGGAGGAATCAAAAAAAATCAGAGTAAAGGTAAACACGATGGGAGGCCAGAGGCTCAGCCAAACAAGCAGGGGCACGGAGGCAGCAAGCACTGTCAGAGTACAGCCTGCCTGGTGTGGAGATGGCTTTGCAGGGCTTCCTGCAGGAAGCACAGCAAGTGACTCTTCAGGTGAGAGCAACCAACTGCTACAAGAACCAGAGAACTGCCAGGAAAATGTGAGCATTATATCAGATACATCTCCAGATCCAGGCTTTGGGGAGTTCAAAGCTAGGTCTGAATTTCAAGAGCTCCCTAAAATCATCATTCAAACCAGCCCTGGGTTGGGCAGGGAGGGACCAAGATACAACCCTGCCCTGATTCATCCGACCAGTGGATGGTCTGAGCCTCCACACTCCCTAAAGCACAGGGACTGTCTTCCTTGGTGTCCACTGTTTGAGCCGAACCATGCACTGAATTGTCTGCTTCTGAAGGAAAAAGCAAAAGAGTAGCAACAGCCTGAGGTGCACTAGAACCTGTTACCCACCAGCAAAACCCTGCAGCAATCACGTTACCAAGGGGGCAGACATGCACCATACAGAAACTCCACTGCAGTCCCTGCTCTCCAAACACCCCAGCCCTGCCTCCCAAAACTGCATTTCAGTATCAACCTTCAATCTTCCTGAACAAGTCTATGCAACAGGGAACAGCAACAAAATTTTTGTGCAATTTTTTTTTAAACTAAAAGTAAATGACCCTTAAACTGAAAACAAACACTGTATCTCAATGTCTTAGTCATGTGTTTATTTTCCTGGGGAAATCTTTCTTGTACCTGTGTCCTGGCCCTAGATAAGAGTAGAGGAAAGCTCAGTGGCAGAGGCTGTGCAGCTTAGAGACATTTTCTTAAAGAAACAGCTTAAGTTAATGGCCTTGCTTTGTTAATGAGCACAGCCAAGCTCCTCTACCCAAGGGCAAGAAGTAGTGGGAAAAGCAAAAGGTGTGTTTGTGCTGTGGGAGGTGGGCTGCAGGTTTGTTTTTTTTCTTACAGAGGATCAGCAGCATGGACTAGTTAAACCCAGCTGGTTTTTATCAGACAAATATTTCATGGTGTTTGCAGCTTGCTGGGTAGAGCCTTTTCAAATCCTACACCATGGAGCTCTGCCTTCATGCGGGAAAAAAAAAAAAACCTGCTTCTCAGCCAGATGAGGCACCAAGCTGTCCCTTGTCCTCAAAGCTGAGGCTGTGGAAAAGACTGGTGAAAAAGGAGTACAGGACCATAGTGATGAACAGCTAGAAAAGGCAGAGGCCCACTTCCTGGAGAAGAAAGGAGATTCTTGCTTCTCTCCAGATGTTAAGACATGATTTAGGGCAAGGTGTTCTTGGGTAACCTGGGCTGCAAGGGGAAAGGATAGTTCCAGGGTCCTAGGTTAGAAATATGCAGTGGCTGAGATGAAGTTTAGCAGTCTAAAGATTGAAGGGAAGCAAAAAATACCCATTAAATCTCTCTATGACAGAAGAATTGGATCCTCACTGACCATTCCACCATTTATTTGGCCAACAAAGCATAGAACAGCGACCAAAAGTAACAGCACTGCTTTCCAAGCAAGTTCCCAGTGCAGTAAGACACTTCAGGCTTCTCTCCAAATCACAACAAAACAGAATCTCTGGGAAGAGGCATCCTCTCCCTTCTCTTCCTGGGTAAATACAGTAACATTTCTCTGGGGTCACAGAAACAGCAGATATATCACAATAGATGGGTCCTGGCTGGTAGGACCCAGCTACAGGACAATCCTCATCAGCACAGCAATGCCAATGCAGTGAGGATCCTTCAGGGATTTAATTCTGCCCCGGGTATGTCACAAATCAGTATATAAACTTTTAAGTGATCTCACAGGCAGAGGTTTTGAGAATGTATTGGCTCTCCAGCATCACTGTTACAGGGCCACATATTACAGCAAAACAAGGGTAGTAAAGGGATACGACATTTTTATGGGACTATCCCGACCATCCTGAGCCTCAAAACCAGAACAGCCAGTTCCTCAAGGCAAACAAACTGCATTATCTGAGCAGTTCCAGCCTCCCAGACTCTAGTTAACCCCAAAAAGGTCCTTTCACAGAGGCCAGCTGGATACCAGGAAGTGTCTCCTGCATGACGAGACAATGCCATCCTGTGGCTGTTCGGGAATACTGACTTTCTGCCATGGTTTTCCAGCAGCAAGCTGACACTTTGCCCCTCCTGCTGAGAGAGGTGCATTAGGAGTGACAGATAGATTCTCCTCAGAAACTGCAAATACGGTGCCTCATTTGCCTTTAGCTCAAAAACAGAGTTTATACCGCTTAAGAGAAGAATCCCTGCTCCCAGGTGGGGTTCAGCTTTAGAATGGGATTATGTTTTGCTGCTGCGCAGGAAAAAGTCAAAGGTAACAATCACGCCTGCTGTTTTTTAGAGCATATACTTAATGTTTAGAGTGCCTGTGTGTGAGACTAGTCCTCCTCTCTCTCTCAGTCACCTTCCTGATGACTTCATTGAGCCCTTTAGCTGAATAACAGTAAAATCTGTCCTTGCCTACAGACAAGTGGGCAACAGGGAGAAAACACTTCACAATAAAGAGCCCTTATCACTCTCCCATGTACTTCTCTCATGCTCTTAGCACAGAGCCTGCAAAACACTTCAGGTGCAATTTTCCTTTCTACTCCTCTCACCATTAGTCTCCTCCTTCTCCCAAACCAGGGCTTGGATATCCTAAAACAGTTCAGACCAGTCTTTGCCCACCTGTCCACACAAGAGGCACAACTTTGACAGTACAGTGAAGAATTTAGTCCTCACCTCTGAGAGACAACTCTCTAGCTGGCTCTCCTCAGCCAGGTCCTAACAAGCACAGATCAGTTAAACACTTCACAGAGTTAAGTCACAAAGACAGCACAATCCCCATCCCTGTTTTGGAGCACACCCCAAAGACCTAAGCTGCACAGTCCCACTCCAGGCCTGGGTATGCTTCCACACTTGGTGCAAAATACTTAAACAGGAAGAAAAAAAATTCTACCACCCAAAGCAAAGAAGACAGAAATACTTAATGACCTCTTTTATTTGGGATTTTATTGCTTTCTCCAAAGTCTGGGAAGGATTCTTTAAAATATATTACTCAGCTTAGCACTGCAATAGAAAAGGCCATTAAGACATGGGACAACCATGTCCCAGTGTGCTCAGACAAGGAAGCCTTTGAGCAAGCATCGTTTGTTTAGATCATACTTCTTCCCTGGCTGGAGCTGGCTGTCCAGAATTTTAATATCTTCTCAGGGAAAAAAAATAAACCTCACCTTTATGGCTGTGAATAAAAAAAAAAAAAAAAGCAGTCAAATGTGAAACCATGCACTGAGGCACAGAGGATCAGTTTAACTCCAAGAAATGCTCATTTTAGGGGTGGAAGACAAGTGTTATCATTTCAGCATCACTACCTGCCACACTGCTGATGAAAAAGCAGAAGGCAGCAGATGGAACAGTTGCATGGGGAATTTGGTTAATTGTCTGTAAGCAAGCAGTACAGAGAGGCAGGTCTGGGATGGTGAGCAGAGCCTGGAGGAGGGTAGACCTTTACATTCACCCTGTTCAGGGCCTCACCCTGGAGTGTGAACACCAATCTACTACACATCTCCTTAGGTTTTTCTCTGGGCTGGGAAACATGACACAAGCAAAATAGTAAGATTTTAGCCTGCAGAGATGTGACACTGGAACCCAGTCTACAGAACACACATGGGTTAATAAGCCTTGCCAGCAGACTGGAAGTATCTCCCAAAACCCACTTCTGCAGGAAGAATAGGGAATGTGCCCAAATAACGAGGAGGACTTCAGACCAAAACAGGGAGAGGTGATAGTCTCAGAAAAATTCACTCTGATGTAAATTAGGGGGCTATTATATGTTAGTAGGTTCAAATTTGTTTTTGTAAGTCTGAAGTGGATGGCACCAGAGAAGGACAGAATTAAGAAGAATCTGCAGCCCAGGTTTCAGAAAGAACAACATGTGTTGAGGCTTGCTTTACACAAAGTTCATAGAATTTGATGTATTGGATCAAGCAGGTCCTTGTCATGCTTAGCCAACCAGAGTATCTACAAGCATGATGCCCCCACAAGCCCCCTCCTAGTCTCTGGAACATCACCCACCAGGAGCTCCAAACACTGGTAGCAGGTTGACCTGCAGATCCAGATGTCCTTGGGTCCCACACAGGTCAGCTATTGATTCCTTTGTATTGGAGAAAGCTGTCTGAATCAAACTTTGTTAAGAAATACTGAATCAATTTGGTATTGTTCTGCACAGAGTTCTATTTAAGCCCTGACCTTTTCCTCTTCTCTGATAAAGACTTCTTCCTCCTCCCCAGGACTGGCTTATCACTGGAAGAATGAGAATGAATCTTCATCTCCATAAAACAGATGGAGAATTCATGTCCTTTCCATGACTCCCAGTTCACACCCTGGGAGAAGACCAAGGAATTTCTCTTACTAAAGTGCTCAGACCAGGTGCTAGGAGTCTACCACTGCCCACTTCAAATACCATTTAACCCTCCAATAAGCAGACACTATAATTATAATCAGTCTTTCAAACACGTTTAATAGAGATCAAACATCTATCTAGCTTGGAACACAAAGGACTGAACCATCTTCAATCCCAAATTAAGCCTGTACAGCGAGATGTACCCCAAGGTGTGCACTAAAAACCAAGGGAAAGGCTACATCAGACAGTGAGCAAGCATCAGTGCTTGCTCAGAGCAAGACAGTGAGTGTTCCTTTAGGTGATGCCCTCAGAGATCAAGACAGCTCCACCTCATGTATGTCTGCCCACAAGCAGCAGGGAGCCATGAGCTCAGGTCCTCTGGATCCAGGGAGGAGGGAGCAAGAGCTGTAAGTTTTGTTATGGATCATTTTGCTTTCTAATGAGATGAGTTGGAGGGCAATCCCTCCTGCAAGGAAAGACACTCCCTCCACATGTTTTCTTCAGGCTGTGAAGAAATAATCAGCACACCAGCTCTGCTGCTCACCTCCCTGTGATTTCTCTCCCTGTGCTTCCCACTGAGGGTGGCTGGGTGGCAGTTCTTTACCCCCATGCGCTCTGGTGCATCAGGGCACAGTTGCTGAGAGCCACATCATTGTCCCTGTCCCACATTGTGAACTTCCAGCCATTGTGGTAGGTCCTTGCAACCTCTAAAAGAAGGGATCAAAGACACAGATAGTAAGTTACTACAGCTGCTAAGCCTGAGGGCTTATCCACCCTTCAGGTGGGTCACAGCAGGCCTGTCAGGGGAGAAGCCACAGCACAGGATAGGTCTGGACACAAATCTCTAAAGCACTGCTATTAGAGGGCATGTCCAAGGGGTGGATCCTCCCAGCTGAAGATCTAAACCTTATGGCAAGAGGGTATTAAAGGATAATTGGAAGACTATGGACACAACAGCAATAGTAAGGATTTACCAGTGGCAGAAGCCAGCACTGCTGTTGAGCAAACTCCCATCTGAATAAAAGACACTTTTATTCCCTCTCAGTTGGGAAGCCCCAGAAGTTGCTGCCCCATCAGCACAGGTTACCTCATGGAAACTTCTAGTTGCCTTTTCAGGCATTTCCCTGAGTGTCAGAGCCCTCTCTTTCCTACAAACAAGCAATTCTTTCTCCTGTCTTCAGCATGAGACAGGCCCATGGGCACACTCCCCTCAGTCTCCCTAGGAAGACTTTCCTCCTCAAAGTGAACCACATCTGATCCATCCTGACCTATGGAGCTCCCATGCTACCGACAAAACAAATACACAGGTCCCAGCATTTGCTTCCCTGGGCAGAGACAGCACCAGTACAAGGCATTCCTTGCCAACATTGCCTCTGTAATTCCCTAGTGACAGCCTTGAGGCAACCTGGAAGAAATTATAGACAGCAGAGACAGATTCCCTGTCTGTCCACAAATCCACAGAGCTCGTAGCAGATGGAGCTGCAGCTCCTGAGGTTGTGCAGCTTGTCAAAACCTAGAAATAAAAGACAATTACTCTTTAAAGTGGGAAGCCAGTTCACCTTTGCTGTTTTAGTCTCTCACTCCATGACCATTTTGGTTAAATCACTATTTCCTGCCTCCTCCTTCCCTTCTTGAGGCTTCATGACAATTTTCCAAGTTTGTTCTGTCTTATCTCAGTTCCTGGCAAGAGACAGAAAAAACAAATAACCAGCACAAAACTGGCTGTACTGCAACATCATTTTTCCCAGAATATTTAAAGGCTCTTTCTCCAAAAACTTTGCCTTATTTAATGCTGGATTCCCTGATTCACACACTGCATTTTCTGGCTGCACGTAACACTGTGGCAAAATACTTAGTTGTACAAATTTTACAGTTTACTTCCCACAGATCTAAGCATGATCTGAACACTTAGACAAAACAAGCTTAGACAAGATCCACAAGGCATTTGGGTTTCTAAACTTCACCAAGATCAGAGGGGCTTGGCAGTAACACACAACAATTTATTTCAGTGGAGAAGATCATGTATCACTGAAAGGTGAAAAAGGTAGTATTTTCCTCTGGTTGTTTAGGGAGATTGCTATCAGAGAACCTGAGACCTTACTCCTCCACATTCGCACACACTCCCCACCTCAAAGCATCTGTGCTTCTGCCTTCAGATTCCTTTGAGTCATTCAACACTTCCTGTGTGGCCAGAGTCGAGGTACATGCTCACAGCACCAGCAATGAAAACACTGACAGACATTACATAACCCTAGACTGTTGGGTACCTCAGCATCCACCAGCCTCCCTAAAACATGGTACTCCATTCAGGAAGGAGCTGAAACACAGGAGTTCAGCAGAGAGAAAGGAGCCTCAACTAACATTTGTGTCATGTCCATGTGATTACATTTATCAAAAAGCAGGAAGAGGAGCAGAGCCTCACTCAGTATCCACCTGCCTCCATCAGTGCTCATGTCACAGTACATGTGCAGCAGCCTGCTGCCATCCCCATTCAGGTAAATGGTGTACATGCCACTGGAGGCATTTCTATTCTGCTGCATCTGGCTGCAATCCATGGGATACAGGTAGAGGAAGCTCACTGTGTGAACAGAGCAGGAAAAACTGTCCCTCAGCAAAGCAGGAGGAGGCACTACCCCTTGGGAAGCTCCTATGGACAAGGGTACTAGAACAGAAGTACAGAAAGCAGCAGCTCCTGCTGTGCACTCACACAGGGCCCAGCTGCATCAGCAGGTAGCAGCTGTTGGCCTTCCCACTGCCTGGGAGCTGGCACACGGATAGGGTCCCCAAAGGCTGAAGAGACAGAACCATAGAATCCTAGAATGCTTTGGGTTGTAAGGGACCTTAAAGCTTGTCTTGTTCTAACCACCTGCTACAGCAGGGATGCCACTCACTAGATCAGGTTGTTCAGGGCCTCATGCAGCCTGGCCATGAACACTTTGAGGGATGGGACAGCCACATTCTCTGTGGGCAACCTGTGCCAATGCTCACCACCCTCTAAGTAAGGCATTTCTTCTTGATACCTAATCTAAACCTGCCCTCTGCCAGTTTAAAATCAGTGTCCTGCCACTGCCTATCCATACAAAAAGACCCAGCCTTGGCTTTCAATAAGAGTGGGAAGAGGAGCCCTTGTTTGTAAAAGTGGGAGTGGCAGGAAAAGGTACTTTAATTTCTCTGAATTTCACAGTTAATCCACAATTGGCAACCCCTGTGGGCATTCACACAGTACAAGAGGCTCTCATAGCACGCTGGCATGAAATGTTTGATTTGCTGTCACTCTGGTGTGTGTTTTCTGACCTCTGAACAACCTGGACAGCTACCCAAGGCCCTGAGATTATTTACACTGTCGTTCCCTGCCATTACTAGGATGTGCAGAAAGATCTCCTGCATTATCATCCTCTCTCCTGCTCACTGGCCTCTCATCAGCAGGTTTTGTCCGGCATGTGGCTAGCAAGGCTTGCCAGCACTGGTGGCCAGCATGGGCGATCTCCACTCACAGTCACACCGTGTTCCCAAGCCTCCAGATGGTGTGGCTGAGAACAAACACCCAGCCAGGAATAACATCACTGATTTGCCAGTTGGTTTCATTATGATCACTGCTTCCCTGTTCATCCATAGGACACAAACTCTGTCTTTGATCTCTGCTGTGATGCACAACAGCTGCAGAGCACGTGGGAAAACTGCAATATCCAAGGCCAGTTGCTACCTGTTGAGAATCTGCGCTCTTTCTGCTCAGGCAATCTCCCTTGTAGGCCATCAAAAAGACAGTGTACCTCATTCCTTGTTCCAGCCCTTCTAGCACAAGCAATCATTTGCTGAGACCCAGATGTACTTCCTGCCAAGTGACAAGAGATCAAAGCACAACCCAACTCAGAACAGTATTTAGCTTTTCTGGACCACACTGCACCAAGCCCCATATGTATTTAAAAGGTTTTCTTGTAGGATTCAGATAGGCAAATTCACCCTCCACCCTTGAAACATGAAGTCCATCTCCTTGGAAGGAAGACTGGGACCAAGGTCTCAAGAAACACTCCTAAGACACTGAGGACACCCTGCCCCTGGTGGGTGCTGTCCTTCCAGGTAATAACTTTTTCTAAGTGAAGAGACAACCATGTTTTGGCACCTGAAGATCTGTTGGGAAGTTAGGACACTTCCAGTGTCACTAAGTCCCTCCACACCTTCTACACATGACAGCAGCACATTGCCTTCCTTGAGCTCTCCCTCCCTGGGTCACATATGGCATAGATTCCCACTCAAAATTTCTGTGGTCCACATACACACAAGTCCCTACTGGCAGAGCCCATAATCACAGAGGTAATTTCAGTGGGGTCTACAGGCCTGAGAAATTCACTGTACTTTGCTTGTAACATCTTCGCCCTGGTAGGTCAGAGAACAGCCATCAATCTGTGCTGTGGGAGGAGTCCAGGTAACTACACCAGTAGAATGAGTCACACCTGATACATGGAGGTTCTTGGGAGGATCAATCTCTATGCAAAAAGAAAAGTCAACTTCCATTTGTTGTGGACTGAGTGAAAGCATTAGACAAACCCTGCTTCAGGTTCAGATTTTTGTCAGCAGCTTAAATTCAGGTGACCTGCACCTAAACTGCCCTGGCTTACAAGTTCTTGAAAACAGCAAATCAGATCTAGTATACATGAGTTATTTATTGAATAGACAGAAGATTAACAGACAAAATACCTTAAACAGAGTTACTTTCTACACAGGTTAAAACAAAGTACTACTAGTAGATTTATATAAAACAGTGCACAACATAAAGGTACCCGTATTATAGCTAGAAAAAAATAATATAGATTAAGAATCAACATAGCTTACCAACAACTGATGGTAGGGTCACACATTCCTTTCACTCAGCTTCCAAAAGAGTAACTCAGGGCCAGCCTTGAGGAGATGTCCCCACACGTTTCCAAGGAATTGCAAAAGACTTCTCCTTTGTGAAAGTTTTGTGTAGCTTTTATAGTTTGTAAAGTGAAGTCTGTCAGTCAGAAATTCAAGGCTTGTCTCCCTTCAATCTGCTCTCAAGGCAAGATGTTTATGGTCAGCGGGGAATTCTACCTCCTTGGTACCAGAAATAACTCACTACAGGACAGAGGTCTGGCTTGGGTTATCTCACCAATTAGCAGATTCCTGTAAGGGGGGGAAGATGAGCTGAGCTCTGCACCAGCTGATAGAACAGATAAGTTCTTCCATGGCAAAGGGGGAGTCCTGCTACACCACTGCATAAATGAGACACAAACTGCAGTGCAGGTCTTGGGCTGAACTGCAGTTGCCTGAAAGTCAACCAGTGGCCTTCATAGCTAGCAAGGAGCAGAAGCCCAGACCAAACACTACAAACCTTCTACAGATCTGGTTTGGCATGTTCTGTGAGCCTGGCAATTGGCTCAGCTGTGCAGTGTCCCACAGCCCCTCACATGTCTGCCTGAGGAGTCTCCATCAGGCTAATCTCTGAGGAGCACTCACAGACAGGTTTAGGCTCTATGCCCCAGTCCTGGAGCACATCTCTAATGTGGCCTGCTGAGAGCCTCTACCCTTTGTTCCCCTACTGCAGATGAAGAATGACTTCAAAGTTGTTGTTGTTATTGTTTAGTTTTCCTTAGTAAACACAGGAATATAAAGAAACCCAGAGCTTTACAGTTCAGTTTGTGCTGGATATGGGATACCAGCTCCTTCACTGGCATCAAAGACTTGGCCAGACTGCCCAAGGTCAGCACAAGGAGAAGAAGAGAATTATTTTAATGGAATGCCAGTTAACAGCAGTTGTCAAAAAACATCTTATGAGGTGCCAACAAGGGGGCTGCAGTGCTTCCCTCAAGATAAATCCAATTTTTAAATCTGTGTTGAAAGTAGAAACACTGGAAGCAGCTTCTCCCTAATCTTCATCCTGTGCTTGCTATAGTCTATATATTTTAGGAACATCTTAAGGAAACAATTTGATGAGTATGGTTTTAATGCCTTTCCAAGTTGTACAGAGGAGGTCCTTGGTGGGAAGTGCTGGTCTCCAGGAAAGAGTGCTCCAGCCCTGAAGCACACCTGAGTTTATATCAAACTATAAATTAATAACTTATCTCAATTTTCTGCTCTTCCACAGATCTCCCTGGAAGACTATGGGCACATTGTTGTCTGTCCTTTCTGTATATACCAGGCTACAAAACTTCCCAGGCCTTGAAGAATAAGGATAAGCATAACAAAAATTATAATGCATCAGTGAAATAATGCAGTTGTGAAAAGGCCACAGAAAAACACAAGGCCATGCTTTGTCTGTCTTAGATAAAGAAGAGTTGAGCAGGCTGGCTCCTCCCAGGAAATGCTGCACTCCTCATGCACAGTGCTACTGCTTAAAGCAGATAAAAAGGCAGAGAGGAAGAAATCAAAACACCAAATATAAGAGCATGGACAGTAGCACTGCAGTTCACAGCCCATGTTGTTTAAAATGCTGTCCATTCATTACAACCAGAGCAACTTACACCAGGCTCATGACTTGAACAGTAGTCCTTTATCTAATGAACTTGTGCTTCATTTGGGAGAGCACTAAACGATTGCTTTAAGTGAAACAACTCAGAAACCTTCTCAGACAAGTTCACTACATATGTATCTCCAGCTGGACAGGAGAGGGAGCTAAGAGGTACCAAATCCATCCTAAGGAGCAAAGGATGGGAAGGGCAGCCTCAGAGGCTGCAGTCTCACAGCACTGCCCTCAAAGGCCAGCTGGCAGCTCCCATGGGTGCAGGGGGCCACCACAGGGCAGCTCCCTACCACAACCAGTTTTAATGCCAGGGAGTAATCAGCCAGCACCTTGAATGAGAAAATGTATTCTTTTCTTCCTCAGAAGTTGTATTATTTTAGCAGAGGTATCATTTATTTTTGTGCAGATATTTTAAAAAAAAATCACTACTAATGTTAAATGCATTCCCTCTCTGCAGTTTCACTTCATGCAAAATTTCCAGGTGCCTTCAATTTCATGCCTGTTCAAGAAAAAAAATATTTTCATTTGCTGAAACTCTCCATGAATTTCTGGTTTCAGATAGGTTCAAGCCTTTTAGCCTCAAGATTTGTCCCCATCAGCTGCCCTTGATCTTGGTAAACAGTAGGGAACTCTTTGGCATCTTGCCCAATATCCAAGCTTCAACTGTTCTATCTCACACCAGATGAATGCATAAACTAGAAAAAGTACATTAGCAAGGTCAGTGGATTTAGTGTAACCCCAGATGTTCTCAGTACATCACAGTCCTTACGGCTGACTGAACAGAATAAATTTAAACTTGCTTAGCAGTCTCCTAGGACTGGCCTAAGGTCACAAGTCAAAGGGCAAACCATTATTTTTAGCTGTCTCCAATTCTGAAGTGGTTTCATTTTGGTTGTTAAACCTGCTATTGTTAGGCTTGATAGCAGCACATGAAGCACTGCATGCTTTTGATTAAGAACTAGTGAAAGAAGGACCATCAGCTGCCATCACTCTTGCATTACGACATCTGCCTCTTCTATAATCATCTACAGCAGCAGTCTCTGTTATGGGTAGCCTGTATGCATGTATTTAAATACTAAATTTAATTATTTAAGTGTGGCTACCACTGTGCAGCAATGCAAAAAGTACTCTGTTATAAAACATTAAATAATAATAAAACAGGATCCATCTGCTGGGAGGAAAGGGTTGAAAGTGGAATAATCGTGAGGAGGATGGTACATTCAATGACCTTGCAGCTGGGAATGCCCAGGCCTGAAGAGTAACAGTGTGGGAAACGCCATATATTATGTCTACTCTTGTTTATCCTCTGTCTGTTTTGAGAAGCAGAATTTCTGTGCAGAGATAACATAGGTGTTTGGAGAGAGACTTGGAGGCACTCACACCAACTTAAGCTTCCTATCTTGGAAGAGAGGGGGTCAAAGCTCAGGTAAATGACACATGCATGGACCCTTGAAAAATGGGACTGAGCCTAATGGTGCTGGCATACCTGCCTGTGTGTCTCTGCCCAGGTGTTGCTTTGGGATCCTCCAATTAGTGAAGTATTGAAATAAATTTACCCTTTGCATTTCAGACATGGTTTGGTGGTTGTTCCCGATGCCTGCCTGGGTTGATACACAACTTCCATCCCATTTCCTTTCCCTTCTGCCCACATTACCTGTCAGTGCTTGCCTTCTTACTCTGCTTGCTCCCCAGCTCTGCCCAGAGATGGATAGTGAATTTCATGCCTGGCTTCAGTCCTGGAAGGGTGGTAATGCTCCTGTCCTTTCCCACTTCTGTTTCTTTAGTGTGCCCACCAGCAGAAGTGTAGCTCACCACATACTTGTCCACGGGAGCTTGGACTCTGTCCCAGGAGATGGTGGCTGAGTCCTCTGTCACTTGGCGAGTTACCAGACTCGTTGTGCTGTCCATTACTATGAAATAAAGTGCAGAGTAAAAAGACACATACCCTTCCCTTAAATTTTTTTCTTTTCCTATTCTCAGGAAACAAAGGATGACAAGGACTAACTCATCTGTGGCTTTACTGGATCTCAATGGCTAATCACCACACTTGGCACTGACGATGAAGAGGCACAGCAAGGCAAGGTAAGGCACTGAGGCACAGCCAGGTGAGCCAGGCTGTTGATTTCTGCAGAGACAGTTAAAGCAAAGAACACAGGCTGTCATGTTCAGACTGTGTTGTCACCTGTGACACTGCTTCCCCTCAAATTTCTTCATTTTTCAAGTCCTATTTCTGATCATACGTTGATTGGATCCACAAATCTGAAAGGTGACAAGGTCTGAGGTGGTTTAAAAGGTCTGTCTTTAATTCTAATAGATGCTTTCCTGGGAAACAGCACAGCCAGTCCTGACGTGGACAGAAAAGCCCTTACAGAGCATGATACTGTTGCTTTCCTGTTTTGTTATGGTCACAAGCCTCCAAAGAACACACACATGTCATCTGTCCAGAAAGTGAGAACAACCAAAGCTCTTTTGTTAAGAGGCCAGGGTGACCCAGGTACACATTTATTCATTTCCCTCCAGCAAGTTCCTGACCTAGAGATGAGTTTTGTGCCTGCCACCACTTTCAGTGGATTCTAATGTTCAGATTTATAGTGTTGTTATAAACAGGAAACACATTAGAAAGATCACTACACATCCTTAACCAGGACTGCAACATGAGAACAATTGAGGAACCATGATTATTCATTCTATTGCAAAGAAACGTGGCCCATATGCTGTTAACCTCTCTGCACTTCAGTTTCTTCATCTCAAGGAGCTGAATATTTCCCTATTGCATGATGAAGGATAAACAAACCAACCAATTAAAATAAGGTTACACAAACCCATAAGAGACACTGCTGCAAGGACTTTGTTTACCCTAATCCTTCTTAGTATTTATAACATGACCTGTTTATACTACCTCCAGGTAATTAGAATCTCTCTGTGATGATGCTTGTTGTTACTGACAGTTGGGCTGTCAATTTCTCTAAGAAAAACTTATTAGAAGTATAGGGCTGTGGTAATCACAATGGTCTAAAGACACAGACAACACAAGTTTTACAGCCAGAGGTAGTGTGTTTCATTAGACTAACACATTTGGAAAAACAGATGAAATTTGGGAAAAGATTCTATGTGTAAAGACCTAAAAGCGGTTTTGTGTATCCAAAAGCTTCCTTCTTTTTTTCTCTCCAGCCCAAACTGGTAAATCTAACAGAAGCTTTATCTTTAGCTGTAAACTGTATTTTGACCATGCAGTGTGTATAGCCACTACTTAAGCAAGTCACCCCTGGATATTTGTGGAGATAAATCATTTTGTACTGCTGGATACATTGCAAGGAAGATAAAATAGGTGTGCTAACTGCTTCTATTTTGTTCTGCCACTCTTGGCACATTGGTGACCATATCTGCATGTCACTGCTGAGGTGGCTGAGCTTTGGCAGGGTCAGTCATCCCTCTGCCCTGCACTGGCTGAGACAGGCTGCTGGTTTCTGTGGAACAGCTGAGTGAAAAACAGGAGTGTCCAAACAGGGACACTTTCTCCTTCCCCTCATGGACCCTGCTGATTTCTTCCACCCTTTACCCCTTCTCATCCTTTACTTCTTGCCAAGGATGGGCCTGAACTAGCAAGTAGGGGGGTGCCCAGTTTTGAGGTATTTCAGCTGGGGTTTAGGTCTCCTCCTCACAGCTATGAGATCAGGGCTCTTTCTTTGGGAGCAACAAAAGCACAGCCACTGCCCAGGCAGACACTGAGCCCAGGCAGAATATGGTGCTACTGGCGTTTGCTTTCTGAAGATCACAACATCATCTTGCCTGAGTTGTTCTGGGAATCAGAACAAAAAACCCCCAAATCACCTACTCAGGATCTATGAAATGCAGCTCTCTGTCACTTTCTAATTCTTCCTACTGTTACACTCTTTTCCCTGTCCAATTCTCAGACGGAAACACAACACAAGATTTCAGAAGTCTTAGTTTCATATCACAACACAACAGCCTGCAGTAATGTGGCCCTTTGAGGACAGCCATACCACCCATGACCTTTACAGGGAACAACTTTTTTTTGGTTTTTTGGTTAAGATTTTTTAATTCACTGAATTACTAAATACATCTCAGCAGCCTGAGAAGTGAAGGTCTTGCAGATGCCTCTCAAATTAATGGAACAGCATTTCTTATTCTGCTGGAGGCTCTAAATTCCAGGGCACAAATGCACAACAGCCACAGTGTAATCTACCACATACCAGCTTAGCTGCACTGTGATTTACCACACATCAGCTACAGAAAAGTTGTGATTTCCCCACCTGCATGTACTAATCTCAGCTCTTTTGTGAGATGAAAATACATTACTTTTCGTTTTAATGAAAGATGCTGAGGCTTGTTTGTGCCACCCTAGAGCAGCACATGCTGGGAATTGGGAATTTGAATAATCACAGCTCAGCTCGTTAGCAGTATGAGACGCTCATCTGTGGCAAGAAAAACCAAGCAAATTATTTTCTTGTGTGGTATGAAAATCAAGTTTGTTCTTTAGGTCTGATTGCACTGCAGCTGGGTACGGGCTGTGCTGCTCTGCATATGCAGTGCTTTTCACTACTGAACTCCCTGCATGGCCCAGGAGCTGCCCAGTGAGAACATGGGCTGGCTCGAGACAATGAACCAACCTGCTGCTACAACTCACATGTCACAGCTCTGGTGCTTGCCTTCTTGCTCCTCTGGGGCCCCTTCTCTGAGCAGATATGTCAGCAACATATTCCATGTCTGGCTTCAGATCCAGTAAGGTGATCATGTCATTTGCACTGCCCACCTGTATTTCCTTGGTGTCTCAATCAGCTGAGGTGTATCTCCCCATGTACCTGTCTAAGGGAGCCTCCACTTTATTCCATGAGGCAGTGGCGGTATCTTCTGTCCTTTGGTCGGCTGTCAGGTCGGTTGGGCTGAGACAGCATTTCAAAGTGAAGGATTAGCTATGTCCAGTTGAATTAAACCCCTAAAAAACCTGTCATGGCATGTTAGGAAGAAATTCTTCCCTGGGCATGTGGTGAAGCACTGGAACAGGTTGCCCAGAGAAGCTGTGGCTGCCCCACCCTGGAAGTGTGCAAGGCCAGGTTGGATGGGGCTTAGGACAACCTGGAATAGTGGAAGGTGTCCCTGCCCATGGCAGGGGATTGGGCTAGATGATCTTTAAGGTCCCTTCAAACTCAAACCATTCCATGTACACATTTCCTTTATTTTTGCCTTACCAGCAAAATACTCACTTAGGTTTCCCCCAACAGCCTCTGCAGAAAGGCATCCATGAGAAACCAGGAGAAAGAAAGAATGTTCTACCATTTACATGAAACTCTCAATTTCTTTCTGCAGGCAGAGCTTGCAGGCTACCTGTCTTGCCTTCCACAGATACCAACTTGAGGCTTACCTAGATGCCTTAAAGATCTAGAAATAAAACAACACAATTTCAGGCAATGTTAATATAGGAGGTAATATAAAAGCTGGTCTTTAATTGGAGGCCTCTAGGGGCAAGTATGGAAAAATGCCCACCTCACATAGGGCAAATACAGTTTTATAAGTTTAGCAAATTAGCATAATTGACAAGAATCACCAATTAGAAACAGAGGTGATGAGGTAATTCCCCCCCGCCTTGGTTCAAACTCTTCTGGGGCCCCTCTTCTTCCAGTTTTTTACAGGAAAGTGTCTTGTGAGGGTAGCTCGTCCTTGGTTCCAAGAGGAAACAAGATTGGGATTGGGTCCTTTGGAATGTGTTCTGTCTGTCTATCAGAGTAGGAAAAATGCTGGTGTGAGCCAGGAACTATAGAACTGTACAGCAATAGTCTACAGAGCTACAAATAAATGAAGAATATATAAAAGCAAAAATCATTTTGGCATCAACCTTCTGGCTTGCCCCCTCCCAGCTCCAAGTACAGTGCCTACCCTTTCTCTGCTTCCACTGTTAGCCATCTGCTGCTCCTCCCTTTCTGCCTTCCCTGCAGACCTGTCTGTCAGACTCCCCCAAGGTTTTGCTATTTTAGCTGATGAATCAGAGCTTGGTGGTAGATCTTGAAGTAGCTGGTATTTGCTTATTTGCATCTCCTAAATTCCAGGGGTTACATAAGAATATGAGCATTTGGGTTATTATTTTCCTTTTAAGAAGCTTTGCAGCCCCCATGTCTGTCAAGAACAGCCTGAAAACACAAATCAAGGGCATTCCAAATAACCAGAGTCTACACAGGGCAGAAGAATAGCCCCAAAATGACAATGTGGAGGTTGTAGGTTTTGATGTTTAAAATAAATTTCATTTTAATAGAACAATTTACACAACAACCTCAGAAATGTCAGGCCTGATACGGAATTTTTCTGACTTTGGAAGCAGCATGCCTACCCTTTTGTAAGAGATGAATTTCAGAAATTCCAGAATCTTGTAAGTAGAATGAGAGTTTAAAGTTCTTCAAGGTGTCTTTTGCAATAGAATAGCTCAAAAATCTTCTGCCACTTTTCTTTAAGACAGTCAGTTAGCCAACAGAGTTGTTATTCCATACAGAGACCAACTCACTACATTTATCCTGTGTCTGGATGGAGCTGTTAGTCAAGTTAAGGGTGAAGTTACTGTAAAAAATTAAAGCAAAAGACTGAGCTAGGCTTAGGGTTTAGTGTTTAATATACAAGCTCAGACAAGGCATAAGCAGACCTGGCTGCAGATCATGTATGAAGAAGCAGTCAATTATGAACCTTTTGTGCTGGAATTTTGAAAGATTTGTCCCAAAACCCTACAGTAACATCACTGTAGTAAAAGCAACTTTCCACATACCAGTCCTGCCAGTCACTGAGGATGGTTTCCCCTCTGTGCTATCTTTCACAGGTGTGACAGTGACCTCATGTTCTGTTACAGGTTTCAGGCCTACAAAGAACAAAAGGGAGCATTACCAACAATTAGGGAAGATGGCATTTTTTCTTAAAGAAAGCTGTTTTGTTTAGTTTATCCAGCTCCAGATTTTTTACAGAGGGGAACTTAAAGTTTAGATTTCTATCCAACTTTCTTTTTGTCTTTTCAATGCTTTGATAGCACCTTTGATCTAGGCTTGCCCTTAGGGCAGGCATATTGACTGCTGCTCAATGCTCTGTGGTGGGGATTTCCATAATATCAACTCTGAAACAGAAGAATGCACTTTTTTCCTAACAAGGACAGAATTAAATGAATGAATATGCCTGGAAACTCGCTATTTACAGACCATAGCTTTCTCCCTGTGGAGACACCCCTCGTTATGTGATAGGGGAGCCCAAACAGATCTCACCAGACATTCACACAAAAGAAGAATTGTCTCAGTCTGAGTTAATAATTCCTGCCACTTCCTGCTCCTGCCCAGTTTGGAACACCCACAAATACCAGTGAGGATATATCTGCTCTTAGGGTCATTGCTTTTGGGCACCATGACCTGCTTCTCATCCATCTCCACTGGGGATCTGAACTTCAGCTTGTAGCAATGCACATCTGTTGATGGGTTCTCCCACTCCACTTCCAGGGAGTACTCCATCTCCTCTGGCACCCAGATGGCATTGACTGCAGACTGGACCGGGAAAGACAGCAGAGAGATGTAGAGAAGCAGCATCAGCACAAAAAGGTAAATAGAAGACAGAAAAGTCAGTAAACAATGCTCCTTCCCTGCCCAGTTTCCTGTTCTGAGACACAAGACATTTTCCTCAGCCAAACTGAGGAGTCAAGCAAGGAAAGCACAATTGTTACTTCAACAGGTTTAGTTTTATCCATGGTAACAGTCCAGCTCTGGTGTTTGCTGGCTCTCAGTTCCCACCTGTTGTGCTGGAAGCAGGAAAAGCATCAAAATCACCAAGCTTTTCCCTGTCTTTGCCAAGTACAAGCAGATAGCATAGTACCAGCTGCTAACCAAAGGATGTTTCAGTTCTCAAGAGACTGCTTCAAATACACAGTCTTTACAGACACATCTTCTTAACCTCAGCAGGATCATGCTCATTCAGTCCTGGGAAGAGACTATGAGGAGAACTCACTACTGCAGACATGTTTGGACAGTAAGTATCTAGGCATGACATCCTGTCTACTTTAAAGTTCTTTCTGCATCCAGTTGAACAGTGCACTATTCTTAGTAACATGCTACCTTTATCCTGCATGCTTCCATTCCTGCTTCTTGCAGCAGGCAACACTACAAATTCCCTGGAATTCACAGGTATCAAGTAGGATTTGGACAAGAGAAATGGAAAGAGAGGAAATCTGCAATATATTCAGCCCTCATGATCCAAATCTGGGAACTGATTCCCCAGAAAACAAGGGCATAACTCTAATCTGGGAAGAGAAAGTGCTCTCCAGCACGCAGTTCCCCTCACTTGTTGAAATCTAAGGGTTTACAACATCTGACTCTTCAAATAATACTACCTGTTCCTGCCTGTACTTGCTTCTAGATGCTTGGGCTCACTGGCAATCCCCTTCACATCTGATGGAAGTGTGACACTGTGAGATTCCACCCTGGCACCAGTACAATCTCATAGCTGAGCTGCACTTTGGGCACATGGATTTGTTTCACCATCATTTCATACCAAGACAGGTAATAGGTAAGGAGATAATTATCCATATCAGTCACAGGATCCCAGCTGACAGACAGGCAGTTCTCTGTGGAGCTCAGCAACTGCATATTCTGGGAAGCAAGGACTAAAAGAGAAACAAGGACAAACACTGCAATGAGCATCACCATTTGCCACATGGCCAAGCATGAAATTTTTTGAAACTTACTTTGAGTAAGAAAATGTAGAACTGGTGCTCCCATCCTATAGTCATCTTGGATTTAACCATTTCTTTCTGCTCAATGGCATATCATTTGATACAATACATAGATAGATACAAATGAATAATGCAGCCTGTAACAAATACAAGTTCCTGGATGACTCTTTCCAGCTTCTAAACCCACACTGGCATGAAGAAAACTGTCTCATAAAGCTCTCCCTACCAATGCATCTAGGAATAGAAAGACAAGCCTAAGCCCTCTTTTCCTATAACTGTCAGAGTTAATTCAAAATGTCAACTGGTCTCCAAAACTAGGGAGTGCAGCCACTCCACAGAAGAGGCAGAAAGATGAGCTTTTCTCACTGAGTACTGATGGAAACTTTTATATTTGGTGCCTGGAGGAGACCTAGGCAAATCTGCTGCACTTAAGACATTTCAGGACACCAACAATACTTTAACTGTTTTGCCAAGAGACAACTACTCAATGTCTTGAAGCATAGCTTGAAAGCAGTCTTTACAGAATATCTGTTTACCATCAAGTTTACTGGATTTTAATTACAAGTGAGCTCATGCTAAGCTGATCAGTCAGTCTACCAGCTTTCATTAGCAAGTTTTGTGGTTTGACACTGGCCAAACACCAGGCACCCAAGAAAGTTGCTCACTCGCCCTCCCCTGCTACAGCTGAGCAGAGAAAAGAAAAAATTTAAACAAAAGGTTCATGAGTTGATAGAAGGACCAGGAGAAAGCACTCCAAAGGCAAAGCAGGCTAAACTTGGAGATATAAAGTGAGTGTATTACTAACAAAATCAGAGAAGAATAATGAGAAGTAAAATAAGCCCTTAAAAACACCTTTTCTTCCCCCACCCCTCCTTCCTTCCCACTGACAGCACAGGGAGACAGAGTATGGGGGTTTTGGTTCATCATGTTCATCATGCAAGGTTTTCTCCTGCTGCTCAGGGAGAGGAGCTGTTCTGTGAGGAGCACCTGCTGTGCTGTGAGATCCCTTCCCATGGGAGACAGCTCTCCATGAACTTCTCCAGCATGGCTCCACTCTCACAAGCAGCAGTCCTCCCAAAACTGCTGCAGTGTGAGTCCCTCCCACAGGCACACAGTCCTCCCAAAACTGCTGTGGTGGGGTCACTCTTCCACAGGTGCAGTGCTCCATGGACAGGCTGCTCCAGCTTGGAAGCAGGGCCTCTTCTCTCCACTGGATCACAGCCTCCTCCAGGCATTCACCTGCTCTGGTATGGACACCTCCCCCCTGGGCTGCAGGTGGATCTCTGCATCCCCCATGGATCCCCACAGGCTGTGAGGGGATCTCTGCATCCTCCATGGATCCCCACAGGCTGTGAGGGGATCTCTGCATCCCCCACTGATCCCCACAGGCTGTGAGGGGATCTCTGCATCCCCCATGGATCCCCACAGGCTGTGAGGGGATCTCTGCATCCCCCATGGATCCCCACAGGCTGTGAGGGGAAATCTGCATCCCCCATGGATCCCCACAGGCTGTGAGGGGATCTCTGCATCCCCCATGGATCCCCACAGGCTGTGAGGGGATCTCTGCATCCCCCATGGATCCCCACAGGCTGTGAGGGGAAATCTGCATCCCCCATGGATCCCCACAGGCTGTGAGGGGATCTCTGCATCCCCCATGGATCCCCACAGGCTGCAGGGGCACAGCTGCTTCACCATGGTCTCACCACAGCCTGCAGAGGAATCTCAGCTCTGGCACCTGCAGCACCTCCTCCCCCTCCTTCTCCACTGACCTTGGTGTCTCCATGTTGTTTCCCTCACACATTCTTACCTCCTCCTCTTCTTTAGCTGGAAAATTACAACTGTCCCCACCTTTGTTTTGATTTTCTTCTTAGATCTGTTATCACAGAGGCGTTACCAACCTCTCTAATTGCCCAGCCTTGGCCAGCAGCATGTCCATCTTCAGAGCCATCAGGGACCGGCT